TGTAGTCTCCCATCTGATTATCCTATCTTTGATCATTTAGTTCAACCCCAGCTTTTCACTGATGCCATCATTATCCCCTCCCCTCATCCCTAACATGAATCAAGTTCTGTTCAATGCTCCTAAAAAAAAAAAAAAAAAATCCTCCCCTGGCTACATATTGACAAAACTTCTTAACCTGGCATTCAAGGTCCACTTTTGCTGGCACCATTTTTCCTTTCTCTGTGCTCTATGCCAACCATCCCAACCTGCTCCCAATTCAAGATGAAATGGGATATTTATAGTTCCCTTGCTTCCCTCACAAGTATGTGATAAGGACCAGTTAATACATGTGAATGCATTTATTACCTTTATTTGTTTATGTCCCACCTTGTTCAGTAAGAAATGTGAGGTGGGAAAACAGTTTTCTAACTATAAAACACTTTGGAGATGTTATTTTTAAACCGTGGAAATCATTGAATTTTGAATCACAGGGGACCCCAGAGACGGTGGGGCCTATCACCTTCCATTTTCCACAGCAGCTTATCCACTGGCCTGAGTCAGTTAGTGGCAGAATTAGTAACTGAACCGAAATTTCCACCTCACTACATTACATCTCTTCAGGAAAATGAAAATAGATTTTTTTTTTTCCTCTTGAGAAAAGATGGATCCTTCTACGTTTACTTCACTGGTAATACATCTGCTCATCTTACCATCTCTAGCCTCTGTAAAGAAAGTAGAAATAGTTTGGATTCTGCCCCAGTTTCTTCACTGCTGCCCCCCTGCCACATAGCAACCAGACCCCCAACTGTGAAATAATTTGCTTGAAACAGTCCCTTGTGTTCTGTACCTGACTAATTTTAATTGAAATCTAGTGCCAATTATCTAGCCCTTTCCCCTGGGTCACCCCTTTATATTTTTTCACAATTAATAATTCACTTAAATTTGTAGCTCTTAGCTACTCTTAGCTACTCCAAGACCACCTTACACCAAATCTGTTCTCTGACTGTGCTATTGCTAATAAAAGCCATTTTAAAATCTGGATTTTATAAATAATGGACATGCTATAATACAAATAGCAACCACTGATTCAGTGCCTACTCAACGTGCCAACTGTTATGTGAAGTACTTTATTTGCATCATCTCTAATTATCCAGACAACAACTCAGCAAAATAAGGCTTAATATCTTGCTGCATATGAGCAAACTTAAGGTCAAAATGGTTAAATAACTTACCCAAGTACCCAATGCCATAGAGTTGGTAAA